CACACACACACACACACACATATATATATTGTGTGTGTGTGTGTGTGTGTATATATATATATATATACACATATATAAAAAAGTTGCGATTTTTATTTATTTATTTTTATTTTACTGATCAAATGTTGACAAGACTACAACAATTCAGTGGCAGGTTCACCCCAAAATGAAACTTTTAGCAGTGATATTTTAGTATTACATATTATTTCTAAATATTTTTAATTGGCTTTCTTATATATATACATACATATACATATAAATCATTTTCAGTTTTCATTTTAATTTTCGTTTTAATTGTATGAGCTTTTTTCATTTTATTAGTTTTTCCAAATACGATATTATTTATAAATATTTGAATCGGCTTTTATTTTTATATTTTCAGTTTCCATTTTAATTTTAGTTTAAGATTTAATTTTATGAGCTTAATTTATGAAAATTCTGTTTTTTACATTTTAATTTAGCTTTAATTTATTTTTATATCAGTTTTAGCAATTTTAGTACTTGAATAAATTTTATTTTATTTAGTTGCCAAGGCAACATTTCTAATTTTCAATTAGGTTTTTACCTAATATTTGCATTTTATTTCATTTTAGATTTCAATTAACAAAACCAATTTAAATTGTGCTTTTTTTATGTGTGTGTGTGTTTCTTTGTCTATGCAATGGCAGTCAATGGTAAACACAACTGGTTGATCATAAATTTTTTTAAATATATTTTTTTGTATTCATCAGAAGAAAGTTGTCTTCTATTTTTAATGGGTGTTAGTTTTTGAGTGAATAATGTGATATGTATTTTGAGAATAGACAATCTAAATAAGACCACAGGAACAACATTTTTAAAACATTTACTGTATTTGAATAAAAGAATAAAACAGCCACTTGGTAACATTAAGCCAATTTTCTGAGCAATTTTGGTAAGCCTCATAAATATGATTTACGAGAGATGCCACATTACATAGTCATTTGGTGGAGTCCAATAATTAATTTGATAACTTTATGGTGTGGTAAGAAGTCAACACACCTCTGAGGATTCAATAGAGACTCAAGCCTTACAAATCCCTCTACAGAGCCATCCAAGAAACAGTGTCAATAAAGTAACTGCACCACAGCCGTTGTATCAGGCCAAACCTGAATCAGTGTCCCTTGGAGTGACAAAGTACAAATATATTGATTCAACATTCAGTTCGCCTCTAATTGAAATTGGATTTTGAGTTTACAAATGGGATGTGGCTTACAGTTTAACACACTTGATGTCACCAACAGAATAGCCAAACAGAGCACACAGTGAGCAGCCATCAAAACAGAGAACGGATATTGGGTGTAAAATGACTTTTTATTGGTCAGCTTCTGATTTGACTACATGACTGTTTCTGAACTGGTGCTAAAGCTTGGTAGATATGGTGCTCTGGATGTTGTTTGTGTGTATTGAGCTCAGTTTGGACTGTAGTGAGTGTCTGCTTTTATGGTGCATTCTCTTAAAGTCCTCTGTGATCTCCAGAACCGTTTTATTCTTTGTCTCAGGCACATGGAACCACACGAAAACACCAGAGAAGAAGCAGAACACAAAAAATGAGGAAGCAGAAATAATCCAAATGTTCCTGCAATCGAAAAATACATTAGAAAGGACTAACTAACTGTGAGTAAAGCATGTTTCAATGGTGCATTCTGTAAACTTTGTCATCTTAGACTTATACTGCCCCCTAGTGGTGTGGATGTATGCAAAAGCACAAGTTTTCAGATTCCAATGTAGAAATGCACTATTTACATAAGACATTACATAAGTGTTGCATAAGAGGAGTAACCAAATAAAATGAGTAGTATTCATTTGATCATGTAATCTCAAAATGGCAGCCTCCATAAAGAGACCTGCTCCATGTAGGGGTGTGCGATATTTATCGTCAACGATAAAATCGTAATTGTGTTTTAACAATATGCGAGCTTACATGATCAAGTATGCCATTGGAAAAAAAAAAAAACGTGTTGAGAGTTAAAAAGCATTCACTACATGAAGCCTATTAGAATTAATTTAAAATGCCCCTATATTTCAAGTTATAAAAGCAAAAAAATATCCCTGTATTAGTTTTTGTTTTTTATATTTATAAGATATGAAATATTTAAGTAAAATCACTCAAGCAAGAATGCCGTTTTCCTGAATATTAGCATGTGAATGTGATGAAAATTATATGCAACAGTTCAAAAAACAAGTTAATACTGAGTGAGTTACAATTTAGACAAAATATTGTCTGTTTTTTCTGGTTTGCCAAAAAAAAGCTGGAGCAGAAAATTTACACAGCAGTGTTTCGTTCCTGAATGAGTGTGTTTTTAAATGAATCATCTGAGTCAGTGATTCAATGATCCATTCGGAAATACAGCCATTTGCTTCACTTCTAAATGAATCGGATGTGTCAAATGAATTATTTGAATGAATCATTCAATGAATAACTCATTAAGGGATTACCGCGGAATATATGGCAGTTTTAGTGTCCTAGTTATTTATCCAGCAAAGGTCCAAGCATAAAAACACACTCAGCAAAATATCGTTCAATTACTGTTATCAAACTCCCCCCCCCAAAAAAAAATCAAGATATAATTTTTTTTTGTCAATATCACACACCCCTAGCTCCATGTAAAATAACACAGTTTTATTAGGCTACTCATATGAACTAAAACGTCATCTCGTGTGTATCTTTTTAAAATATTTTTCAAACATACTATTTCTCTATGTGTAAATGTTTCTGCACCTTTCATTTTTCAGCAAAAAAACAGGGCATGAAGGCATAAAATGATAAAAGCTCACCACTATGAGAGGAAACAACATGCCCACCAGGAAGAGTCCCGTCCAGTTAAGGATGCAGGCTACCATGAACGCCGGAGGTTTATAGGACTGTGTGAAAATCTCACCAGGAAGTGGTGCTGTCACCCCGGCTGTGGAAGAGAGAATTCACAAGAGTATTGTTAAGACAATAAGGCTACAAATAAGCGTCTGAACATCTCACTGCAGGAGAAAAATGTGTGGATGTACCTGGCCCGCTAGAGAAGAAGAAGATGTAGGTGAAAATAAGGACCATGCTGCAGTATGGCATCCAGGATACAAAGTCCTATAACAGCCAGACAAATCCAGTCTCAGGAATAGTTTCATATAGTATGAACAGTGGCTTGTTAGTCACAAAAAAAGATCAGTTTATATAATGCTTACTTGCTTGTATTTAAGAAAAAATTCACTTAAAGTTGTTTAATGTCTTACATGTTGTCTTGCCATGCTCTTACACCGTGTCACGCAATGCCGCAACATGCGATAAAAGGTATCTTTTCCGTGTTAATCGGAGTTTTGTCCTAACTATGGCGACACGCAAAGTTTCTATTTTAGAACGGTTTCTATTTCTGCGACGTCGACAACAGCATACAAACTATGACAATGATAATTTCAGGTACTGATTATGTGCTTTATTCAATGTTAAAAGTGTCTAATGTAGTGAATCAGCTCATGGGGAAATATGAATAATTAATCATAACTAGTTATAATTAATTATAAATATTTGTGTTTGATTGGTCCAGATACTACACTAATGTCAGTTTGAATATTATTTTGCATGACATTTATAGCCATACTGAAAGCAACAATAGATAGTTTATAATACAGTAGATAGTGTTACAACATTCTTTGTGGAAACACAAAATATGTGGAATATACGGAAGTGTGAATGAGATTTGAGAGCTGTGGCAAAGGTTTTCTGTAAATAATGTATTAAATTTCCTTACGTTTCTCACACAAAACTATATTTATGACACTTTTTTGTGTTTTTAAAGCTGGATAGCTCCAGTCGCCATTCACTTTCAATATATAAAATAAATAACCAACTTGAGATTTGAGAGCTGCTGTGAACATCCTGTGAATAATGACTTAAATTTAGTTTTGTGTGAGAAACAAGACTATCATATGCAGAGGACGTGGAATAAAGCACATGATTCACAGAAACTAGTTTTACTCTACTTTTATGATGCATTTTTGAAGCTCGACATCTTCAGCCTCCATTCACATTCATTACTGTATATAATAAGCGCATAAGATTTGAAAGCTGTGGCAAGGATTTTCTGTGAATGAATAAAATTTCAGTCAGTTCTTCACACAGAACTATCATATGACAGCAGAAGATGAGAAATAAAGCACATGATTAATATAAACTACGTTTATGATGCTTTTTTGTTATCTGTGAAGCATGAAAGCTACAGTTCCATTCACTTTCATTATATAATAAGTAATAATTTACTGAAGATTTTCAGTAAATAACTCAAATTTTAGTCTGTTCCTCACACAAAACTATAGTATGATTTCAAAAGACATGGAATATAGTGCGAGAGTACTACTTTTATTAAACATTCATGATGCTTTTTGTCTTTTTTGAAGCTGTAGTCTCTGTAATGATAGGAAAACA